GCTAAAGCCCATTCCCCATCAGCTAATCCCTCCCAGTTTATGGAGGCCGAAGGTAGGATGCCCTTTGCCGGGCGCTGTTCCCTTCCCAGAGCGGTTTTGCTCTCGGCAGGAGCATCCCCGGTGTTGCCGGAGCAAGCCGGCAGTGAGAGCTGGCGTTTGGTCAGGGCTGGCAGGTGTCCCCGGCACAACCTCTGCCTTCTTGCTGGGTTTTGCTTCTCTGCACTGGTTTTCTTCACAAAAATGGGTTTGTGCTGTCAAACCCTCGTGACATCGCAGCCTCCCTCTTACTTGCAGCCTGAGCGCGTTGCTGCCTGAGGCGAGGCTGTCGGTGCTCACAGTGACACCATCTTCTCGCTTTCCCTCTCCCTGCTGCCTTTTCCCTGTTCTTCCATTTGCCAAGGCTGCATCCTGCCTGGCCAAACCCAGCTTTCTCCCAGCCTTCCCCTCCCCTCTGTTGTTCATGAGGGATGGCAAAGACTGGGGATGACCTCATCTTTGAGTGTGTGGTCATCAGGTCCTGTCCATCCTGGAAAGGTGGGATATAGGGAAGAAGAAAAAGCTGGAAGCCCCAGCCACAGCTGAGCATGGTGACCTCCTCCAGGCCAGCTCCACGGCTGCTCCGGCACCTTCAGGAAGGTCTGGCAGCATGGAGAAGGTGGTCACCGTCATTCCATGGCAGAGAGCCTAATGCCACAAGGATGCAGGGAAGGAAGAGGGCTGCTATTTATGGAGAAACCCCAGCAGCGTGGCAAAGGGCCTCTTTCTCCTGTCCTGTCTGGTTCCTTTCCAGCTACGATGGGATGTCCCAGCGAGGTGGGATCTTTGCAGGGTGCAGTAGCCACTGGGAGCATCTTTGCTGGGCACTGGGTTTTGGATCAGCCAGGGGAAGAGTTTTGGGCTGGGTTTTAACCCTGCCGGGACAATACGCACTCGACGTCCCCAAGTGACAGGTCATGTCTCGGGGACCAGTGGCACGATGGTCCAGCTGCTGCCCACGCTTCTCTGTGGCATCACGATGACCTGGGAGATGCCAGCCTATGCTTATGGAGAGCTACCTGCCGGACCCGGCACGCCTGCACGCGCCCCCGCAGCCCGCTGAGCGGTGCTAAGAGGATTACAGCCCCCTTAGGTGATGTTAATGCGCCGGCCCCAGCCTCACGAGCTGCGGGGAGCTCCAAGTTCCCCTCCCCGTGGGAGGCTGCGCGTGGGAGCAGAGCCAAGGGATGACCTGAGCCACCTGGGCATCCCATCCTTGTCCTGTCTCTGAAGTCATTAAGAGCAGCCAAGCTTCGTTTCCCAGTAACGAGCTCGATAGGGGCTCTGAAGGGGGAGGGACAAAGTCAGCTGGAAGCTCTCGGAGAAGACCTTGTTGCGCATGTAGGGTTGTCTCCCTGCGGAGGTGCAGGCCGGGCATGTCCTTATTTAACCTCTTACAGTGACACCACGCTGAATTTTCTCTTCTCTCCCCAATTTCCTGGCTACCGCCAAGTGCAGCAGGAGCTGCCGGCCCGCACCAATGGCTCAGCACCCACTGCTCCGGCACTGGCCCGCGACGCCCTCCACACCAAGATGGAGCAGCTGGAGGAGCAGCTCCTCTCCAAGATCCTGACCCTGCAGAAGGAGCGCCAGGCCGCCAACACTGACCGCAGCCAGCAGCAGCACGACATCGAGAAGGAGCTGAACTCCCTCCAGAACCGGGTGACAGAGCTGGAGCACGGTGAGTCCCACCTGAGGGTGATGGAGGTGGTGTGCAGGGGTCCCGAACCTGGGGTGTGTCTCCAGGAGAGCCCCGGGCCTGGCCGCTCTCAGACTGGCCACCCTCATCCTAGCGATGGATGCTGACTCTTCTCTCTCCTCCCCATCTTCCATGCATAGGACCACCAGGATACAGCCCTCCCGATGCCTTCAAGGTGACCATCCCGGTGCAGAACAACTACATGTACGCCCGCATGAAGAAGAGCCTGCCGGAGCTCTACGCCTTCACCATCTGCATGTGGCTGAAGTCCAAGGCCTTAGCGGGGCTCGGCACCCCCTTCTCCTACTCCGTCCCAAGCCAAGCCAACGAGATAGTGCTGCTGGAGTGGGGCACCAACCCCCTGGAGCTGCTCATCAATGACAAGGTCAGTCCAGCTGGAAGGATGATGGGAGGGAAGCCCCTGCCCTCACAGAATCACAGGACAGTTTGGGTTGGAAGGGACCTTAAAGACCATCCAGTTCCAACCCCCCTGCCATGGGCAGGGACACCTCCCACTAGGGCAGGTTGCTCAAAGCCTCCTCTCCCTTGCTTCAACCCTCCTGGGAAATGATGCTCCTGGGGATACCAGGGAGGGAAGCATGGAGGAAGGGGCCTGGGATGGAGGGGGGAAGCAGGAGGATGGCTTGCCATGGCGGATTTTGAGTGGGAGCAGCAGTGCATCCAGATGTCTGTAGAGTTTGGGGTGCCGCTGCCATGGGGGCGCACCGCTTTTGCTCTGTGAGGGACTGGGGGGATGCCAGGATCCTCCGTCAGTCCCACCAAGCGC